ACAGAGTGTGACACAGAGGGGAGGGAGTTTGTGACACAGAGGGGGAGGGAGTGTGCGACACAGAGGGGGAGGGAGTGTGCGACACAGAGGGGGAGGGAATGTGTGACACAGAGGGGGAGGGAGTGTGTGACACAGAGGGGGAGGTAGTGTGTGACAGAGAGGGAGTGAGTGTGCGACACACAGGGGGAGGGAGTGTGCGACACAGAGGGGGAGGGAGTGTGTAACATAGAAGGGGAGGGAGTGTGTAACACAGAGGTGGAGGGAGTGTGTCACACAGAGTGGGAGGGAATGTACGACACAGAGTTGGAGGGAGGGTGTGACACAATAGTGCAGGAGGGATTCGCACTTCACGGGAGTGTGTCACATAAAGAGTGTGTATGTGTAATGTACCCTCCATTGTTGGAAAGTATGGATTTTGAAGCATGTACGTCAGGCTGGCTAGTAGCTCCACTTTAGGGGCCAGGGCTGCTATTGTTCTTTTGAGGTGATATGTTACGAGCAGAGTGCACTTTGCACAATGTCAGCAAATCCCCTTTCACCAGAGACCAAAAGAGCAACAGTGGTAAGGAGCCCAAATTCAGGATAGTCCCACCAAAGAGGTTTAAGTAAGGGATCTGCTGTGGGTGAGTGGCTGACAAAGTGTGAGTTTGTGTAACAGAACTGAAAGCATCACTTTGAATTTTCACGTTAGTGAATAAGGCTGGTAGTGTGTGTGTGACACAGATAATGAGTGTGTGGGTAGGTGTGGGATGCCCACATACCTGTTAACATATTAATACACGTTCCAGGTGGCTTTATAACCCCTGCTGGGAATGCTGCGGTTCCTGTGGCCATGTGTAACCCATGTATGAGTTGACATTGCCTCATATGATGCTGTTCCTCGTGGCTATGCTATAAAAATAGGTTTTATGTCCTGAGATATTGTTTTACTTAGTTTGAAAAGAAAAGGCTGAGGGCAATGTGATGCCCTGAACTTAATATGACCATGATTCTTAAAGGGACACTCCACTGCCCAAATACAAAATAAACAAAAAACACTATTTAGTAGATATCCCCCGAATGAAAACTTGCATGCATTCATTATGCCTTTTTTTCATCGGGGTAAATCTAAAAACCACTTGCAACAGCTGCAGATCTCTTGCCTGCTGCCTTTGCACACCCTCCCCTTCTAACCCCACACAGACTTTGTAGCTGTCCAATCACAGACTGCCCAATACAGCTCAATGAGAAATCATTGCAAGACAGGTGCTCTGGTAAATTGCTGCCTTTTGAGTTTAGTTCCATTGAGCAAAACAAACCAGGAAGTAACAGGACCGGTTGTATGACTGAAAGCCCAGGGGGTATAACTAGGTTAAATTATAAAAGTGTAAATATTCCATTGAAATCTGCACTTTTTGCAAAATACTCTCCTAGTATAAGAGAGTACTAAAACTTCACTCACCTGGTATAGGTGAGTACTCACCCTGGTATAGGAGCGTACAAGAACCTCACTCACCCTGGTATAGGAGTGTACCAGAACCTCACTCACCCTGGTATAGGAGAGTACCAGAACCTCACTCACCCTGGTATAGGAGAGTACCAGAACCTCACTCATCCTGGTATAGGAGCATACCAGAACCTCACTCACCCTGGTATAGGAGAGTACCAGAACCTCACTCACACTGGTATAGGAGCGTACAAGAACCTCACTCACCCTGGTATAGGAGCGAGCGTACAAGAACCTCACTCACCCTGGTATAGGAGAGTACCAGAACCTCACTCACCCTGGTATAGAGTGGAGTACCACCTTGTTCCCCATAATGATCTTGATGTTGAGGCCAGTTCTACATGATGGCTTTTTGGTATCATTTTGTTGCCATTCTCATTATTTTGTCACATTCGTCTCACAGCCTGGATTCAGTTTCCGCAAGCTCTGGGCTTTCACTGGACCTGGATTTCTCATGAGCATTGCCTACCTGGATCCGGGGAACATAGAGTCTGATCTGCAATGTGGGGCGATCGCTGGATTCAAGGTAAACATGGGGCGAACAAAATATTAATTAGCGTTTTCAAATGATTCAATATTTTTGGATAAACTTTTGAAAGGATTTAACATTATGAAAAATATTTACTTTTTTGATATTTCGATATTTTTTGGTATATTGATATACTTTAAGATAGAATATATATATTTTTTATATTTTATTATTTTGAAAAAAAAATCCAAAAATAATAAATCAAGGCAGAAGGAAAAGTTTTTAATTCTTTCCATTGAGTTTATTTAGTTTACCAGAAATTGTGGAGAATTACATTTTAGAACAAGATAGTTGAAATCGAAAAATTCTCCTATCGAGATATTTTCCTGCTTGGCTATTTTCACCTAAAATTCCCAATTCCCAGGTAAATCGTCTACAATTCTTGGTTTAGTAATAAATTGCAGTTTTGTAAGAAAACTCCCAATGAGCAAAAGGCACATAGACAGCAGGAAAACTGCAGGAGAAAGTAACTAAGTGCCCATTTGTATTGAGTAAGATTATTTATTTAAATCTCTTTAGAAAATTACTGGTTTGACCTAATTTAAAATGCTCTATTTATTTCTAAAAAATGGAAAATGAATAGCCAACAGATGAATAAAGATCAACATAATGAAATTAGGAATTAATCTACTTTTATAAAATCTAAGCCCGCAGATAGAATGAATATGATATAATTGCCTGTTACACACATGCTAAAATTGTTTCTTTGATTGTCAGCTCCTATGGGTATTGCTCGGAGCCACCATATTGGGTCTTGTGTGCCAAAGACTGGCTGTGCGGCTGGGAGTGGTGACAGGAAAAGACTTGGCTCAAATCTGCCATTCGTACTATCCTAAGGTATAGTACCTCTCTTTGCTATTGTCAGTGTTTGTCAGTCTTGTCCCTCTTTGTCATAGATATGTCTGTTAGTTCATCAGCTTTTGCCCCTTCATGATAAACATTGCAAGTCAGTCTGTCAGACTCTGTCCCTCTGTTAAAAGATATATTTCCTGGTGTTTCCCCCCCAATATATGTCTATAAGTCTCTGCACAAGTCAATCCAATTTGAAGTATGGGAAGCAATCAGAGAGTTGCTGTAGTTCCATGTTACAAACTGGAGCCCATGGTAATACCTTTTATAGAATAATGGAACTGGTGTCTATTGTCAGTCCCCAAGATGCTGTTGTTCCATATTACATACTGGAGCCCTTGGCAGTACCTTTTATAGAATAATGGAACTGGTGTCTATTGTCAGTCCCCAAGATGCTGTTGTTCCATATTACATACTGGAGCCCTTGGCAGTACCTTTTATAGAATAATGGAACTGGTGTCTATTGTCAGTCTCCAAGTTGCTGTTGTTCCATATTACAAACTGGAGCCCTTGGCAGTACCTTTTACAGAATAATGGAACTGTTGTCTATTGTCAGTCTCCAAGTTGTTGTTGTTCCATATTACATACTGGAGTCCATGGCTGTACCTTTTATAGAATAATGGACCATGACCCTCTGTGTCTATTGTCCGTCCCTTCTCCTTCTAATGACACATAATTTGTTGTCAGTCTGTCAATCTATGTTCCTAACGATGATGAATGTGCCAGATCTTTGTTCTCTGTTGCAGGCCCCCCGATGGATTCTCTGGGTTCTGGTGGAGTTGGCTATTATAGGATCAGATATGCAGGAAGTCATTGGTACTGCAATTGCATTCAGTCTTCTATCCTCTGGACGGTAAGGCATCTCTATTCTCCAAACTGCAGAGTACATTGCAGGACTCCATCACAGGCTATTATTATCCTTCCTGCAACATCCTCTTCCGGATCTGCTCACTTTGTTTTCCTTTTTCAAAAATGTAAATTGATGTAAAACAAATGTGCTGAAATTAGAAGAGAGTATAGGAGTTTGATGGTTCCCTTAAATGACCCATTGGGCAACAAACCTCTTTGCCAAGTAGTTTGAATTCTAGAAAAAAAACAAAAACCTATGTGCACTATAACTTCCTATATCAGAATCTATATCACTGTCTTTCAAGCCCATCTCGGCTTCCATTGTTGTGCGAATGTTGTGTGCAATGTCTGTAGGTTATTCTGTAGGTTAGAATTTGCATGTGTATGTATTTGCATATATCTGCATATAATGGAATTTGCATTCAGTTTGCTAAGTTTTATTTAATCGTGCTCTCCTAATCTACTCCCTTCCCATGTTGAGGAGTAATATTTTTTGGGGGGAGGGGGTGGGTTGTGTTACCATATTCTATTATATTTTATATATTGTTTAGTTGTGTCACCGCAAGTTAAATGTTGTGGTGTCTTTCAGAATTGATATTTTATTTGCGATTGCAAAGCACTTTGGGTTAATATCAGTATAAATATACTGCTTTCTAGGATTCCACTCTGGGGAGGAGTTCTTATTACCATTGCAGACACACTGGTGTTTTTATTCCTTGATAAATATGGTGAGTTATTATTATAATTACCAGTTTGATCACTATGAACACATAATATGTTCTTCCCTCGGCTGGCGATGAGAATTTATAATGATTATTCCCTGTTAGCATATTATGAATTAGATAATTATAAAAAGCTATTACTAAACAGTATAATGCTACTGGCATCCCCCAATCTAGTCTTTTGCTAGATTAACCTCTTTTCCCCCAGAGATATGCTATTTCGATATGCTGATGGAGCAGTCATGAAAAGTGCTACCCAGCATTGTGTAGGATTTATATGTTGCAGAATGAAAAATATGTGCATTAAAAGGGCACTCTAAGAGCGTAACCTCTAAAACATGTTTTTCTATGGATTTACCCCATAATTAGCCTGTAGGATCTACAGCTCAGCAACATTATCTATGTCAGCTCTGTCCTACATTTTAAATTATTCTAAACATCCAAGAGAGAAAGCACAGGTTTATAAGCCATTGTGTGCAGGGACACAGCGACAGGGACCATATTTGCATCATAACTAATCAGCACAGGTTGATATGGTGCTTACAGAATCCCTTTAATGGTACATTAGTGGTAAATACGAATACTAAGGGAGCAGCTATCATATAACCAGTGACAAAGATTTTATGTATTCCTGCCACAAACCCTCTCTCAGTCTTAACCGACATATATAAACGGGATCTCAGACTTAATCGGTTATTAATCTAGATTTACTGATAATTCATTTTCTCTAGAGCCCACACCCTGGTTGATCTGTGTTTGTCCTTGTTAGCCTGCACCCTGGATTATCTGTGTTTGTCCTTGGTAGCCTGCACCCTGGATTATCTGTGTTTGTCCTTGGTAGCCCGCACCCTGGCTGATCTGTGTTTGCCCTTGGTAGCCTGCACCCTGGCTGATCTGTGTTTGTCCTTGGTAGCCTGCATCCTGGCTGATCTGTGTTTGTCCTTTGTAGCCTACACCCTGGCTGATCTGTGTTTGTTCTTGGTAGTCCGCACCCTGGCTGATCTGTGTTTGTCCTTGGTAGCCTGCACTCTGGCTGATCTGTGTTTGTCCCTGGTAGAATGCATCCTGGCTGATCTGTGTTTGCCCTTGGCAGCCCGCACCCTGGCTGATCTGTGCTTGTCCTTGGTAGAATGCACCCTGGCTGATCTGTGTTTGCCCTTGGTAGCCTGCACCCTGGCTGATCTGTGTTTGCCCTTGGTAGCCCGCACCCTGGCTGATCTGTGTTTGTCGTTGGTAGAATGCACCCTGGCTGATCTGTGTTTGCCCTTGGTAGCCTGCACCCTGGCTGATCTGTGTTTGCCCTTGGTAGCCTGCACCCTGGCTGATCTGTGTTTGTCCTTGGTAGAATGCACCCTGGCTGATCTGTGTTTGTCCTTGGTAGAATGCACCCTGGCTGATCTGTGTTTGTCCTTGGTAGAATGTGCCCTGGCTGATCTGTGTTTGTCCTTGGTAGAATGCACCCTGGCTGATTTGTGTTTGTCTTTGGTAGCCTGCACCCTGGCTGATCTGTGTTTGTCCTTGGTAGCCTGCACCCTGGCTGATCTGTGTTTGTCATTGGTAGCCTGCACCCTGGCTGATCTGTGTTTGTCCTTGGTAGCCTGCATCATGGCTGATCGGTGTTTGTCCTTGGTAGCCCGCATCCTGGCTGATCGGTGTTTGTCCTTGGTAGCCTGCACCCTGGCTGATCTGTGTTTGTCCTTGGTAGCCTGCACCCTGGCTGATCTGTGTTTGTCCTTGGTAGCCTGCACCCTGGCTGATCTGTGTTTGTCCTTGGTAGCCTGCACCCTGGCTGATCGGTGTTTGTCCTTGGTAGCCTACACCCTGGCTGATCGGTGTTTGTCCTTGGTAGAATGCACCCTGGCTGATTTGTGTTTGCCCTTGGTAGCCTGCACCCTGGCTGAGCCTGCCACCCTGGCTGATCTGTGTTTGTCCTTGGTAGCCTGCACCCTGGCTGATCTGTGTTTGCCCTTGGTAGCCTGCACCCTGGCTGATCTGTGTTTGCCCTTGGTAGCCTGCACCCTGGCTGATCTGTGTTTGTCCTTGGTAGCCTGCACCCTGGCTGATCTGTGTTTGCCCTTGGTAGCCTGCACCCTGGCTGATCTGTGTTTGTCCTTGGTAGCCTGCACCCTGGCTGATCTGTGTTTGTCCTTGGTAGCCTAGCCTGCACCCTGGCTGATCTGTGTTTGTCCTTGGTAGCCTGCACCCTGGCTGATCTGTGTTTGTCCTTGGTAGCCTGCACCCTGGCTGATCTGTGTTTGTCCTTGGTAGCCTGCACCCTGGCTGATCTGTGTTTGTCCTTGGCAGGTCTCAGAAAGTTGGAAGCCTTTTTTGGCCTTTTAATCACTATAATGGCCGTTACATTTGGATATGAGGTAAGCAGGTCCCATTTTAGTTACCTCAGCCCCTCCTCTGCGCTAGCTGCAGTTTAACCATATCTAATAACTCCTTGTTGTACTGTTTAAAACTTTCTATTTAAAGTTGCTCACCTCCCCCATTTTTCTTTTCCTCATTTGTTCTCCATTCTATGTATTTATTGTAACACACACTCACTCACACACACACACACACACACACACACTCTCTCTCTCTTTGTGATTTTTTTCTTCCTATCTGTGCTCTATTCTATCCATCTCTTTTTTATATATACATATATTTTATTGAGATTCTAATAACTTATGTAATGAATGAATAATGTCAACAGCAGGAATCCGCATATCAATAAAAAGTAAATATCGTAATTGGTCGAGGCTGAGCTGGCACATAGAAAATATCTAATTTTATGAGTAAGATAGCTAAAGGCAGGAAACTTAAATAGTGAAATGTAACACGTAATGAACTTTCAGCAGTCAGTACACTAGTTACGAGTACAGACGTTAACATTGAATGAGATTGAGACAAAGTGATTGCTTAAAACACAAACTGAATAAAACAACACAAACCATAAGCGAATCTGAATGACATGGCTACTGGTGTGTGTCCCAGTGGAGATAGAGTTGAGCGGTGGGATGTCTGAGATTCAGACCTGGCCATGGATCCCATCAAAGGTAGAACACAGCCATGCTCAGTAGTGGGAAGTCAAATGATCATAGGCCCATGTGTAGGTAACTGTCCAGTCAGACAGGAATGTTGGGAGGCACTCACAGGATGCTGCAACAACTGCAAGACTGCAAGACTCTGATCGACCATCGTCAATCTGGGTAGTTGCGACGTGATGGTACGGCCCTCAGTATTAGTAGGGGCAACAATTTCTGTGGCCTTCAGGATCATTTTTGCATATACTGTATTTTTATTCGTTTCACATCTAAACTTGTTTTCCACTTATACACCATTTAATTGGGGGATATAATGTGAGGTGTGATATACCTATCCTCCTATTCACTGGTCCGCTGGAGTAAATAGGTTGTGATGTTAAGAAGTTATCAGTGGCTGGTTATTCTATCAGTATTCTCTTATTATAGGAAGAGGAAGGTGAGATATAAAAGGCTTTATCTCAATGTACTTATGGTATTGACTTTACATGACTCAATGAAAAGGCTCGAAAGGTGTAATTTAGGGAAGGATATAAAAAAAAAAAAAATACCAGAGATAACAGTTTAGATTTTGAATACATCATACCAACTGCATCACCCTTGTAAAAAGTTACTAAACACATATTGCAACACTGTTATGCGGACCAGAAAGTTCCTAAAAGCAGATTAGATTGTGCAACTCGCTGGCATGATTTTAAGTCCACTGCATTATCCACTGAAAGGATACAGATTACTTTGAAATATAGAAAAAAGGCTGCCGTTGGCTGACTGCAACTTTTTGAGTTTACTTTTTTTAATTCACATGTAATAGTTCATTTAAATTACATTTTAAAAAAATCATTATTTGTTTTAAAGATATTATTTAGTAACAAAATAAAGAATATTTAGAAAGGAAAAAAAGGTTTTTCGTTTACTCGTTCCTGATTTATGTTAGATTGGGCCATGCGCTATCTTTGCACTTACTGGTGGGAGCATAATTTACAAGTGCAGACGAATATTACAAGGAGGGGAATGTAAGACTCTCTTTGTAGTATAATATAAAGATCAAGTATACCATAATGAGAGGAGGTGTGAATCTGATCGCACATAGCAAGCGCCCAAACTGACACTTTCAGCCAATGAGCTGGCCCCGCATGCAGAGCTTAGCTCGGGATAGTTAACAGACGCTCCTAGGAGGAGCTCTCATTGCAGAGAAGTGGGGATCAGCACGAGGTGGCCCCCGGCTCAAACCATACCAAACAGCTTTACTACTTACTGCGGTGGTTATGGTGCTTGGAGTGTTCCCTTTAAGTTTTTTAAAGGATAACAGGAAACAAGGGGAAGATTGGCTGGGCTAGAAAGTAATAAAAATCACATTTCCATATTTCTAAAAAATGATTATCTAACAGTGGTTTCTGAAGATGTAACAATAATTAAATGCAGTGGGACTTCCTCTTTAAAGTTGTGTAACATTCTGATGAGTGATGAGGGTAAAGGTTGGATATCTGGGTTTTTTCACATGATTTTAGGTCATGAGACTTAAATGTTAAAGGGACGGTACACATTGTACTAAGTAAAATACTAAATACTAATTCATGATACTAAATAACTAATGGAGTGATATTCCCCGGTTTACGTCTGTTTCTTTTCTGATTGTGCAACTGGGTGAGTGTCAATAGCAGCTTTAGTTAAATTAGAGGCTGAGGAAAAATATATTTTCCTTTTGCTCTTTGTATATTTTAAGTTGTGAGCTGGGTTTTACATGGCGTAGCGTTGAAACAAACATTTTATTATCAAACTAAACCTTCAGTAAAATGCGCTGGGGTCTGTAAAGGATTTCCTTATGTTTACCTGTACCCATTTGGTTAATTCCTCTCCCTGCTAGTTAAGTGACTGTAAAGTATTCGTTGTTATTTCTGTGTTCGGGACATTTATTCGTTCTACCGAACGGAGACCACCCTGGGTAGCAATCAGAACTTAGAACACTAAGTAACCATGAAAACCGCAAGGTAATTGAGTGCTTCCAGGTGGCCGCCATTCGGCATACGAACACGTGGCGAGAACAAAGGATGGCGGCCATCTTAGATCTCCCAAACGCGGTCAGCGGGACTTACTCGTGGATTGCCTGGAACCATTTTCGGCATGACAAACACACAAACACCCAGTCTCTATGGAAGTCCCGTCTGACCGATTTCTACTTACAGTATCAAACTGGCGTTCGGGAGTTTAAATCAACCGAATGAGGGGAGCATTCATATGGAACCAGATGCTGTATAACTGTGGTAGTTTTTGTGTAATAACACACGAACGGAGACCGGCTCTTGCTACCAATTTCATGGAACTCTAACTCGGATACAACCACATGGCGAGCCGGTCAAACTTCCACACGATGCGACACCAAAACTACTGAACGGATTTTCATGCAATTTGGATATGTTACTCCTAGTATCCTCAGCTACCCAGGGATGTAATTGTTATATTTTTGTGATATGTAGAAAGTATATTTTTGAAAATGTGGAATATTGTTAATGTTGAGTTTAGTATGTTGCTGAAACTCAATTATCTAGCCTGGCCCAGAGGAGGAGCTTGTACTGCATAAATTGAATGCCTGTTGCTTCCATTAAAATCAGTCTTGTTCCAGCCTTAAGCTTTGGCTCATGTGTGGATTATTTGGCGATACCAGCGTTATTTTACCCTGTGGATTATAGTCGTTATTCTGCTATGGGGAAAAAGGGAATACTGGACGGTGATACAGATTACTACTGTCACAGGGTCAATCTTAGATGCTCAGCAGAGCCCTACCGAGAAGAATGCAAAATATACTGAAATATTAATCCAAGTTGTAAGGAGGGTTGGATTCAATTCACCTTCATTCAGCCTCAATTCACATTTCCAATGAGAATTATTTGGAGATAAAATCTAGGAACTACGAGGAGTTTCTCAACCACTCAGTATTTGCAAATACTAATTGTTAGCTTGTGTTTTTACGCGATTTCTATTTTCTGCTTCTTAGTTACTTATATTTAGGTAACATTTTTTTAGATAATTTATCCTTTGAACTTGTTTTAATACACAGAGAATGCTGTCCAGTCATCCTATCAACCCATTCAGCAACATATAGCGAATAGTCCGCTTAAGACATTGTTTTGTGGACAGTGTTTTCTCTCTGCCAAGATTTATTTCTGTAAAACTATATATAGTGAGAATTATACCCTAGCTATCTGCTCTACATCATCCATTACTGGTTTTGGTGAGTAGAACATGCCCCTGCAGTATCACTGCTCAATTCTTTGCCATTTTCAGAGTTAAATCCCTTTGTTTATGCAGCCGTAGCCACACCTCCCCTGGCTGAGACTCACCAGCCTTCCTACCCCTTCCTAAAAAAAGAGTCAACATTTTTTACCTTTTGAGTGTGTTTATCTTTAACAAATCTTATCTCCTGCTCTGTTCATAGCTTGCTAGAGCCTGCAGGAGTCACGAGTGAAACTAATATGTAATTAACAGAGCAGGACATTAGAACCTCTAAAGAAAACACACTATACTGTAAGAACAGATAGGAAATTAAGCCAATTTTCCATGGAGGCGGTGTGAGTCACAGCCAGGGGAGGTGTGACTAGGGCTACATAAACAAAAGTAATTTAACTAATTAATCAGAATTGAGCAGGGGCACGATCTATTCACTAAAACTGCTTCATTAAGCTAAAGTTGTGTGGTGCCGAGAGTATGCCTTTAATACAAGAGGTAAGCTATGTAAAGTATCTCACGTGCTCTGTGTTTTTTGTCTCCCAGTACGTAGTAGTAAAACCGGACCAAGTAGAGGTGATCAAGGGAATGTTTTACCCCTATTGCTCTGGCTGCGGCTCCCCTGAACTCCTTCAAGCTGTGGGCATCATTGGCGCAATCATCATGCCACACAACATATACCTGCATTCCTCTCTGGTTAAGGTAGGACCGAAAAACGCAATTGATTCGATACACTTTATGCTTTATTAAAACCCAGGGATTTTGGAAGGATGAGAAATGGAATTGCAAATTTTAAAAGAGTAAACACATTCTATAACTCAGCATCTTCTGTTAATTTGGCCTAAAAGGTGCAAATATCTTCTCAATTTTCCTTAAATCCCAGTGTAGTGACTACATATATAAAGATGTACATTTGGATGCAGCCACTGCTCATAGAACATTGACACACATCACAGTCTAAGCCAACTGGTATTGTGCAGTTAAGTGATGTGACGGAACGCTGGCACTCCGACTGAGTACCTCCGCCAATCGATGCTCCTAGTGCTCGCTGAGGACTCCAAGCACTCCAACCGACACCATCAGCACTGCAGACCCCACTTCCAGCGATGCAACTGCGCCGGGGTCTCTGCTGTCTCCACCCACCCTGGACCCAAGGCCAGGATCCAGCTTCCAGTGGGTGAACCTCTCTTTCCCCAGAGAGCAGGAACAGGAACAGGAACAGGAACAAGCTCTTAGCAGAACTTAGTGATCATACCCTGGGGAGTATAGTGATTATAGCAATCCCCAGAGTGTATTTCTCCAATCCCCCAAACATGAGCCAAGGCTTAATGCTGGAACAAGACTGATTTACTGGCACACAGAACTCAAAGTTTATGCAACACAAAACTCCTCCTCTGGGCCAGGCTAGATAATTGAGTTTCTACAATACACAAAGCTCAATTATCTGCTGGCCAGAAATAATACAGTTTCATAAAACACACAGGGACCCCAAAACATGCAATAACCCCATAAAAAGTATATCCTTGGAACCGGGGGATCTGGGTGAACCACATATCCAAAATTCACCCAGATCCGTTCAGTACTTTGGAAAATACAGTTTAATGCAGATTCTGCAGAACATATACAGGCTAAATGAAAAACAATCACTGTATAATGTGTCCCCTGCTGTATAGTCCAAAACCACTGCACAATGTCTCTGTGCACCAAATACTGGCAAGATGGCACCGTGTTGAAAAGTCCAAACAGTGTCTGTGAGTTAAAATGGCCGCCATCCATTGTTCTCACCATGTGCTTCTGATACAGGAAATGGTGGCCACCCAGTAACTCCACAGTATGTCCCCAGATGGTTCTTAAAGGGCCAGCAGCAGCACAACACAAATCCATTATGCCCAAATCATGTCTTTAAAGGGCAATACATCCCAGGGGCCATAGTCACAGGGTAAGAGGCGGGCAAGCAGTCCTCTCCAGGCACAAGTGGTGAAGGGCACTTTGTCACAAGTGATATGAGACAGGCGTGATAAAAACACAATAACTACTTTGTTACTCAATGGAACATGTTCATCATCTTATACATTAACTTCATCATATGACATATAATTTTATCAATGTATTTAATCATTAAAGACACATATAGTTAGTCTAGATATTAAAAAAATTAACCACAGCTGGAACTCTATCAAATGAGCTATCTCGGAGTTTATATTTAAATTAGTTTAGTAAATCCAGCATCTGACTTTCAACTGATTCCTTTCCCGTGACTGAAATTAATTATTTACTAAAAAGAGAAATTTGTACATTTTAGGCCAAATATCCAGTTTGGAACAAAAACTTACTAACTTTTATTGGAGATATTTTTCAAATCTACTATTTTGCCCTAAATTATGCAAGTTGGTAGTGAGTTCGCCACTACTACTAAATCTACCGCTAAGATTAACATGTAGTTCAACAATAATTGAGCTGCACTATTTGATTGCAAGATACAGTATGTACTAAAATGTACGCAAAAAAAAAAAAAGTAAAAAAATAATTGCTACTTAAAGGATCACTATAGTGTCAGGAATACAAACATGTATTCCTGACACTATAGTGTTAAAACCACCATCTAGCCCCCATGGACCCCTCATGCCTCCATAAATATAGCAAAATCTTACTGTATTCAAGCCAGAAGCTGTAACTCTGCGTGCTGTTTGCCTCAAAAAAACAAGCAGTCTGCTGACATCTTCAAAAGTGGTAGCCTGATCCAATCACAATGCTTTCCCATAGAATTGGCTGAGACTGAAAAAGAGGTAGATCATGATTCAAACACAGCCCTGGTCAATCAGCATCTCCTCATAGAGATGAATTAAATCAATGAATCTCTATGAGGAAAGTTCAGTGTCTGCATGCAGAGGGAGGAGATACTGAATGTTTGGATGCATTTTAGGCAGCCATGACCCAGGAAGGATCTCTAACAGCCATCTGAGGAGTGGCCAGTGAAGGTATCACTAGGCTGTAATGTAAACACTGCATTTCTCTGAAAAGACAGTGTTTACAGCAAAAAGCCTGAAGGTAATGATTCTACTCACCAGAACAAATTCAATAAGCTGTAGTTGTTCTGGTGACTAAAGTGTCCCTTTAAGATGCATTTAACACTAGTAGTTTAATAATCAGTTAGCAATGCCTCAGTAAATGTAATTACTGTGAAAATATAGTCACAAATGATCTGTGATTAAAAATACATGGTTATGTGTTCTTAACACTAATTATCACGTAGCACACTATATTGTGCAGGTGATATTAGTTGTGCCCATTTTTATTGAGAGCAGTTATATACACACAGTCTTTGAAGCAGGGCCGGACTGGGAATTCAAAGCAGCCCTGGAAAAAAATGTATGCCAGCCCCATAAGTCCTTGTGCCACGTAATGTGTATGTGTATATATATACGTGTACTACACACATACATACATATATATATATATACACAGTTCCTGCTTTAATATAATCACTGTTTTAATACCGAGTGTTAGACTATGTGATCACAAGTCCATACAAACAAATCCAAAAGGTAGTCTGCACTCGGGGACTTCTTTTAAAACTGAGCATTTATTTATACATATAAAAAAATAACACTTACATAAAGTGTTAGAAGTGCATAGATGGCCAACGTTTCAGTCCCAGTCTGGGACTTTCCTCAGTACAACAAAAGTCTTAAAAAAGAAATATAAAAATAATAATTATATATAAATAAAATTTATTATTGCTATGTTCAAATGCAGGCACAGAAAGTCTCACTGACACAAACACTCAGTACAGCCAAGCTCCTTGACACACACACACACATACAAACATACTACAGACAAGTCCACTGACACACACACCCAGTACTGCAAAGCTCCCTGACACACACACACGCACACACAAACATACAACAGACAAGTCCACTGGCACACACACTCACATGCTCACTACAAACAAGCTCAGTGACACACACACACTCATAAGCTCACTAACATACAAGATCATTAAAACACAAATGCTCACTACACACAAGCTCACTGACACACACAAGCTCACTGACACACACATATTTACACAAACAAACACACACTCACTACACACACTCACTACAGACACAGCATTTAAACCCTACCTGGCACTGGAGGCTCTGGGAAATTAAGTTTTCTCTGGGATGCCATTTTCAGGCCTCTTCCTGTAGCAAGGTCCGCTGCTTGAGTGCGAGAGGCCGAGCTTACGGGGGCGGTGCTTCCGTACAGGGGTGGAGCTTACATGTGAGGCAGAGCTTACATGCTGAGGAAGATGCTGGGAATTAGGAAGGGAGACTCAGTGCTCCCTCTGGCCGTCAGCAGCCTTAATGCGGCAGCACCAGCCCCCAGCACCTGCCTCCTTAATTTCCTCGGAAGGTCAGACGTTGTGACAGTCCAAGGGAAAAATTATTAAAATAAAACATTAGTGCTACCTGCCAACCCCAGGTGCCGCAGCCCACCGAGAAAATTCCGGTTTCCCAGTGGGCCAGTCTGGCCTTGCTCTGAAGATACAGTTATGTACGCTATGTGTGATAATGTAAAATTCAGTAATAGGAAATAAAAGGGGAAATGTGCTACTTCAGATATAAATGCTGAATCATTGTCAAATATGAATATTGTGCACAAAACATCCCAATAACAAACATGCCATCCAGTTTTCATTATTTGTGCTCCTCCGGTCAAAAAAGGAAGAAAAAAAAAGGAATGTAAATGTGCTCAGTAAATAGCAATTTTGAGCTGTTTTGGGTTACAAATCTGGAATTCCTTCAACACCCAGTTTTCTGTAAAAACTCACAGTTTCGTTAAAAATATATATTTTTTTAACCAAAAGGTTTTACTATAGTCAGAACCCACCTTTTAGACCCATGGATTTGTTTGTAAGATTTCTATGTTAATTTGAAGAGCTGGTTTTAACACATTTTATGCAATCAAATGCATGAAAATCGCGTGATGCCCTCTTTGATTCATAATTAGATTAATTAATAACCTCTTTTTGGGGGGGAAGTGGATTGACCAGCTGAAGATCACCATAAGATTTATGGAAATTCTTCTTCCTGCTCATCCTGCAGTAACTATTTAACCAAGTGACTGTTTGATGGCAGACATTTTGAATTGGAGGACAGGTTTGGAATGTTGAGATAATGTCTTCTTCTATCCTCAGTCTAGAGTCGTGGATCGCTCAAAGAAGCAGGAGGTGAGCGAAGCCAACATGTATTTCATTATTGAAGCAACGATAGCACTCTTTGTCTCCTTCCTCATTAACCTCTTCGTTATGGCTGTGTTTGCAGAGGCATTTTACAACAAAACCAATCACGACGCAGTAAGTAACCGTGACTGTCTGGGACATTGTAATAATTCTTATTCCTACGTAGATGCACCATATAAATAGTACTTTATACATAAACATGCCATGGAGAGTGTCAGCTCATTGGCCAAGGAATTATCACTGTGTATATTAAAGAGGATCTATCTTGAAAATTAACATTTGGTATGTTGTAGTTTATATATATATATAAAAAAAGCAAATATAAATATAAATATATAATGCATTTTACAAGAGTAGTGATTTACTAGTTGTGAGTTTTTTGTAAATATCATAAATGGGTGGATCTATATATATATATAAATATATATATATATATACACACTTTCAGCTCCTGTGCGGAGGATCAATCAGTTTTTCTCTTACAATAATTCAGGAGATTTCTCGTAGACACTTTAAAGCTCAGTGAGATGGCACCGGTTTGGAATATGAGTTGTGTAACATGATTTAGAAAGGTCTTCAAATTCCGAAAATTTACATATTTATTCTAAAATAATTATTACAGGAACATTTTTGTTGCTATTACTAATAGCACCAATCATAAACACATTGTGAATTATTTTTAATAATTTATATAATTTTATATTTTAAAAAAAAAACATTAATATAAAATTTTGAGTTCACTGTGTCATCATTTTATATTTATACACTAAACGATTATGGCTATTTACTGAACTGGGAAACGGGCCAGCTGGGAACAAAAAAATCAAAACAAATTCTTCAACTCAGCCAATGTTAAAGGACCACTATAGTGCCAGGAAAACATACTCGTTTTCCTGGCACTATAGTGCCCTGAGGGTGCCCGGGCTCTGGGGAGAGGGATGGGTTAAACTTACCTCTTTCTCCAGCGCCGGGCGGGAAGCTTTCCTCCTCCTCTCCTCCTCCATAGCGACGTCATCGGCTGAATGCGCATGCGCGGCAGGAGCCGCGCACGCATTCAGCCAGTTCATAGGAAAGCATTTACAATGCTTTCCTATGGACGCTGGCGTCTTCTCACTGTGATTTTCACAGTGAGAAGCACGCAAGCGCCTCTAGCGGCTGTCAAGAGACAGCCACTAGAGGCTGGATTAACCATATTATAAACATAGCAGTTTCTCTGAAACTGCTATGTTTATAAAAATTAAAAAAAAGGGTTAATCCTAGAGGGACCTGGCACCCAGACCACTTCATTAAGCTGAAGTGGTCTGGGTGCCTATAGTGGTCCTTTAAAGCTCTGCTGTTCCACTCTAAAAATGCATTTAATCCCAAATTCCTAGTTTAGTTTATTACAAAATAGTTATTTACTAAACTGTGAACTGTCAGGAATTATTTTCAAGGTAGATTTGAAATTTTAACATTAGAGGGACACTTTAGTCACCAGAACAACTACAGCTTCTTGAATTTGTTCCGGTGAGTAGAATCATCACCTTCAGGCCTTTTGCTGTAAACACTGTCTTTTCAGAGAAAATGCAGTGTTTACATTACAGCCTAGTGATAACTTCACTGGCCACTCCTCAGATAGCTGTTAGAGATACTTCTTGGGGCAGTGCTGCACAGTGTGACTGCCATTCAGTGTCTCCACCCTATGCATGTGGACACTGAACTTTCCTCAGATATACATTAATTTAGTGGATCTCGATGAGGAGACGCTGATTGGCCAGGGCTGTGTTTGACTTATGCTGGCTCTGCCTCCTTTACAATCTCAACCAATCCTATGGGGGAGCATTGTGATTGGCTCAGAGAATCACTTCTGATGATGTCAGACAATCAGGCAGATCAGGGGCAGCAGCAGCAGCTGCAGACTAAAATACAAGTAAGATTTTACAATTTTTAGGGAGGGAGGGGGCAAGGGTGGGGGCCAGGGTGGGCTGAAATGGTTGTTTTTACACTATAGGTTCAGGAATACCTGTTTGTTTTTATGACCCTATCATGTTCCTTTAAGGTTATGTTTTGTATATTTTGTGTGTGTATGTTGTTTATTTGTTCTGTGTCGTCATCCTGCTGTATTGCACAGCTACACAATTTTACAGTCATTCTAAAAATTCATCAGAAATTAAATTTTATTCTTTTCTGTAAAATAAATTCTACCTAAGTAGATAAAAAATGGCTTGCCTTGGGTCATATGTATAGAATTCTTCAGTATGTCGCATGAAAATATAATGCAATCAGATATAAAAACCAGATGTCTTATCCTTGTTCCAAACTTCACACCAGTGTCACGAATTCACTGATGTGAAATGACCAACCGCCAATGCCATTACTGGATATTCTGGGTGTTGGGTGGAGGCACTCTGTCTCCAAAGTTTTTGCAATGACTATGCCAATATATGAAGTGCATCTAAGCAATATCCCCATATCACAAAATGTATGCAATATTCTATATTTTCATAGCTTTCAAACGTTTAATTCAATAAATAAGCGTAAAAAAATGTCTTGCTCGTTTCACCTTAATGGAAATTTAATCTCAGACTCCATTCTGCTGAGTTGCACGCATGCTCACTGAGGATACATTTACCCATCACATACTCACCAACTCACACACTCACCGACTCACACACTCACTGTCTGACACTCAGTATCTCACAAACCCGTCCCTCACTGGCTCACACTCTTACCTCCTCACAGTGTAACATATCCTTTTTTTGTGTTTCAGCACGAAGTTTGCCTAAACAGCAGCAGCCCGCACACTGGAGTATTTCCTGATAACAACGAAACGTTATCTGTCGACATCTACAATGGGGTTTGTATGCAACCATGACTTAAAGAAACACTCCACTACCAAAATAGTTTTTTAAAATCCCTGTTTAGTAGATATACCCTTAATGCATGCATTTCAGTATGCATTTTTTGGGGGTTATATCTAAAATCAAATTGCAAAACCTGCAGCTCAATGAGAAGTCTTTGCAAGGCAGGTGCTCTGGGCAATTGCTGCCACTTGAGTTTATCTCCACTGAGTTAACCAAACCAGGAAGTAACAGGGTACATTTTCTGATTGACAGCCAAAAAAAGAAAACAATGCTTTGGTTACTAAACAAGAATATGGTTAATCGGAAAAAAGATTCTTCATTTTGCAATTTATTTCTTTTTAATTACATTTTTAGTGAACAAACCCAATGTTATTTGTTCTCCATGTACGGAAAAGCAACATGTACTTTTATTGTTTGAAATCGCACGTACCCACAATGTACAGAAATGGTTTCCTCATGCAGGACCTGCTGGGATTTTCCCACATTGAGACACAAAGCATGTAAGCACTCGTATTACTGCTATCACAGTGTTTTCAAATAGAATATCGAGTTTCATTTCCGGCTTGCATTCTTTTCGTTATAAAGTATCAGTATCTGAGTTTGCAGTGGGTTAAAACGTGAATAGTTTTGTCTGTCTATCTGTTTAAAAACGTTTATATCTGCTAATTTCCGTGTTCTACTTAAAGCTACAGTGCTTTTTCAGTTTCCTATTTTTTCCTTGATGTGTTAGTGATGGATAACCTTGGCATGCTTGTGTACTACATAACCCATGATGCACAGCCAGCCATTATGGTGGTGGAACAGAGATTACAATGATCTAATGCATGGATCTCCTAAAGGTAGATCCCCAGATGTTTTAATGCATCATGGGAGTTGTAGTTCTACAACATCTGGGGGTCTACCTTTAGGAGATCCATGCATTAGATCATTGTAATCTCTGTTCCACCACCATAATGGATGGCTGTGCATCATGGGTTATGTAGTACACAAGCATGCCAAGGTTATCCATTATCTTTAGGTTCCTAGCAGTGACATGCGCTGTGGGCGGGATTAAAAGTGTGCCATTATTACACCGTGTCTGTCCACACAGGGGGTCATCCTGGGCTGCTTCTTTGGACCTGCGGCTCTCTACATCTGGGCGGTGGGAATCCTGGCAGCCGGTCAGAGCTCTACAATGACAGGGACCTACGCAGGGCAGTTTGTGATGGAGGTAAGTGAATAGGTGTAACCCTATTTTATAAGGATTGGTATAAATCATCACTACTAATCATCCCCAAATTTAGTTTTTAATCTAAGCCTCCGCCAGGTGGAGATACTGTAATAGGCAAGGAGTTTTAATGGATAACCTTTAGCCGGGCTCTCATGCCTTCAAACATTTCACATGGACAGAGGGGGACAGTTTAATTTTAGGGGTGTGAGTGGGGGAGTAGCCAGGGCTTTTTTGAGTGAGTGGGGGAGTGGCCAGGGCTTTTCTGACTAATAACAATTTATAGAAGTAAAATGTAATTTAGAACAAGAACAATGTATCTGTAGGGACTGTCTCTCCTAAATAGGGACACTTGGAAGGTATGTGTCTCACTCCTCCTGAGAAATACGGAGCGTTACTAAGCTGCTAGTTCTGCTTATGTGAAGTCCAGGCCTAAGGCTAAGGGTGTTAAAGCTTGTGTTCCACGGACGGCAATTCACAGGTCTTATCATATTATTAGCTCACCTCCTCATTATAGTCACCATTCCACTTTCTCATCACCTACTGAGCACGTTTCACTTTGTGTAAACATGGAGAGCAGATAACGTTATATCCGGTAAAAACAGCGGTTCAGTTCTCATAATCCCATTTAGTATCAACTACACAAACTCATATAATTTAGAGAATTAGGGCTCCGTCACACTGAGAACTAGGCTCACACTGCCGATAGGGCATAGTGGGCAACCCCAACCAAAATACAGTGTTTTAACCCATCTCTGATTTTGGATAGAGTAACCTTTGCTGTGCTGATCTTCGCCGATCAAAGCTTTAAAATAAAAAGGAACGTAAACAAACCTTCAGTCCAGTGCTGAGGCCAAGTTCTCCCATCAGCCCGATCTTCATACACTAACATCACTAGTTACCAGGTGATGGATGTAGGGGGAGACTGACGAAGGGAGAACATGGGTGGCACGGAGAGGGGACCATGCTGCCATTGGCTATCTGAGCTGCTGTCAGATATATTTGCACAGAATTCACATTAGTCAGTCTAGTTGACTCTTATTCCGGGCCAGCTACAGACTCCCCAATGACGTGACATTACACCCCGGCAGCAAAGATGTTTAACTCTGTATATGCCGCATTTATGCCACTGGGAGGCTGATTAAAGGACCACTATAGTGCCAGGAAAACATACTCGTTTTCCTGGCACTATAGTGCCCTGAGGGTGCCCCCACCCTCAAGGTCCCCCTCCCGCCCGGCTCTGGAAAGGGGAAAGGGGTTAAAACTTACCTTTTTCCAGCGCTGGGTGGAGAGCTCTCCTCCTCCGTTCCTCCCCGTCGTCTGAATGCGCACGCGCGGCAAGAGCTGAGCGTGCATTCAGCCGGTCACATAGGAAAGCATTCATAATGCTTTCCTATGGACACTGGCGTGCTCTCACTGTGAAAATCACAGTGAGAAGCACGCAAGCGCCTCTAGCGGCTGTCAATGAGACAGCCACTAGAGGAAATAGGGGAAGGCTTAACTCATTCATAAACATAGCAGTTTCATTGTTTATGAAAAAATGGGTTAAACCTAGCTGGACCAGGTACCCAGACCACTTCATTAAGCTGAAGTGGTCTGGGTGCCTAGAGTGGTCCTTTAAAGGGAATAATTGTGGTCTTTGCAGTCTGTGTGTAGCTGGAAAAACACTAATTGAACAAATCTGGTTTATGGTGTGAATGCTCCCTCTAGTGGCTGATTGACTGATCGTCTCCAAGTTAGTCTTACCAATTAAAGCTGCTGTATCACAGTATGGGGTCTTTATATAATTTGCTAAGATTCCCAATGGCGACATATAGGGGTCCAGTGGCCATAGGTGGCAAGAGCAGGTAGGTTTTACTGAGCCTGCCCCTCGGGGGGCATTGCCATACTCTTTCACACTGTCCTGTTCAGCTGCATGGAGCCAACGTCAGCGCAGTACTCTCAGGTATGTGCAAGATTACAGCAATGAGGTCTATGGAGATCCTGCGAGATCCTCAAAAGAAAGAGCTTTTTTATTCCCTGGTGACAACTGGGGGAAATGCCAAGCTTGTTAAGCAAAAGGAAAAATATGGTGTTCCAACTTTGTCTCAGTATATGTTTTGAGTGGGTTGGAATTTTGGTGAAATTCTAACAGTAATGTGAGTATTTCATAACTATTCTATCGCTATGAAATACTCGTTTTGGAGGAGGGGGTGACAGAGCCGCTTTAACATTTTGTTAACGGTGTCTGTGTCTAATGCTATGTGAAAGATGCAGTGTTTCTAAAATACAAAATTTAGATGTAAATACTGTGATTAGGAATTTTGTATAAGATTGTATAAAATATGTTTTGGAATTGCCTTTAATGTATAACTATTTGTGTATGTATGTTGTGGGGTTTTTCTGCAAAATAAATAAATAACAAAACCACAAGTATATTTAAGTAATAATAAATAACAAAATCTCGAAGATATTTAAGCAATAATAAATAACAAAGCGTTTGTACTCTTTATATTGCGGTTTACTAGCAAGTAGCACCACCACAAATTGGATGTAAACTACATTACACCCTAATTAACTGTTAATACTTTACATGTAACAATAATAATCAAAGGGTTAGTCCGAGCACTACGATCACTTCAATGATTCAAAGTGGTCATGGTGCTCAGAGTCTGTATGTGCAACAATTTACTATGAAATGCTAGTGCAGGATGGAGGTGAATTTTAACTTTATTTATTTTTATTTTGGGGAGCGTATTAGGACACCAAGGGTTACTCTAACCAATACAAGTGTTTTATGAAAGGAATAACGTTTAAGAAATTATTTAGTATTCATGCTTGTCCAGCTCTTGTTATTACTCAACTCAATGTGGTTCGTTTAATCAACCTCAGAAATATCAATGGGTATTTGCGCTTCACTAGGAACATGTTCTTCATTTTGTTTATTAAAGGACCACTACAGTGCCAGGAAAACAAACCCTCAGAGTCCCACTCCTGCTGCCCTGAAGGCGGAAGAAGGGGTTAATCCCTTACCAGTGGCGTACACACGACCCCTGGGGCCCCGGTGCGAAAATTGATCCGTGGGACCCCCGCGCGAGCGGGCCGGACCGCAACACATGGCGGTGGGCACCTGGTCGCAGGGGTTACAGGGCTGCGACCCCTGCGACCACGGTATGTACGCCAGTGCATGCAGATGCACACACACTTAAAGGACCACTCTAGGCACCCAGACCACTTCAGCTTAATGAAGTGGTCTGGGTGCCAGGTCCAGCTAGGGTTAACCCATTTTTTCATAAACATAGCAGTTTCAGAGAAACTGCTATGTTTATGAATGGGTTAAGCCTTCCCCTATTTCCTCTGGCGGCTGTCTCATTGACAGCCGCTAGAGGCGCTTGCGTGCTTCTCACTGTGATTTTCACAGTGAGAGCACGCCAGCGTCCATAGGAAAGCATTATGAATGCTTTCCTATGTGACCGGCTGAATGCGTGCACAGCTCTTGCCGTGCGTGCGCATACAGCCGACGGGTAGGAGAAGAGGAGGATCGGAGGAGGAGAGCTCTCCGCCCAGCGGTGGAAAAAGGTAAGTTTTACCCTTTTCCAGAGCCGGGCGGGAGGGGGTCCCTGAGGGTGGGGGCACCCTCAGGGCACTATAGTGCCAGGAAAACGAGTATGTTTTCCTGGCACTATAGTGGTCCTTTAAAGGACCACTACAGACACCCAGATCACATCAGCTCAGTGAAGTTGTCTGGGTGTCAGGTCCCTCTAGTTTTAACCCTGCAGCTGAAAACATAGCAGTTTCAGAGAAACTGCTATGTTTCACTGAGGGTTAATCCAGCCTCTAGTGGCTGTCTCACTGACAGCCGCTAGAGGAGCACACTGAGCGTCCATAGGAAAGCATTGAGTAATGCTTTCCTATGGGCGGTTTGAATGCGTGCGCGGTCGCATTCGGAGCTGAGAGGCTGAGGGATCCTCAGCGCCAAGGGAGTCCGGCGCTGGAGAAAGGTAAGTGCTGAAGACACACACACTCTCACCTACAGACGCATACACACTAGCTAACAGACACACACATTTACTGACAGAGATACAGTCAGCGACAGACATACATACACACTCACTTACAAAACATACACTCTCATTGACAAACACACACTCACTAACAGACATCAAACAGACTCACTAACACACACACACTCAGTAAGACACACACAGTAACAAACTCACTGACACTCACTAGCAGACACACACACTAACACACTAACACTCACTAGCAGACACACTAACACTCACTCTAACACTCACACACACTAACACTCTCACACACTAACACTCACACACACATGATTTTTAAAAAATTTTTTTTAAATGTAATCCCCCCAGCCTCCTTACCTTTTGGAGTGCTGTGGGGATTCCCTGGGCGGCAGGTCACTGTGGGCGGGCTGGCTGGTCAGGCAGGCGGGCGCGCGAGGGAGCACTCAGTGCTTCCTCTTCAGCTCCCTCGCGCGCCGCGTAGGGATGCCGGCACCGGAAGATGACGTCATCTTCCGGCTCCGGCATCAGTGCGGTGCGCGAGGGAGCTGAAGAGGAAGCACTGATTTCTCCCTCGCGCGCCCGCCTGCCTGACCGACCGGCCACCCGGGGTCAGCGGGGCCAGCCTCAGGGGGGCCCTGGGGTGGTCGGCTCCTGGGCCCCCCAGGGGAAGAGGCTGGCCCTGGGCGTACATACCGGGTCGCAGGGGCGGCCGGGCCCCCTCGTGGGCCGGGCCCGGTCGCAGTCGCGACCCCTGCGACCCTGGTATGTACGCCAGTGGTGACATTAAAGAAGTTTATCGATAATTGGCCATTTTGGAAGGTGAACAGGAAACCATATGAATGCTGTAAACAGCCGAATAGGAAAAACCATACGAATAAGTTTACACTCCTAGCAGTCAAACTGGAACAGCATACAATAAATACTCCCAAGAACGAGACAAAGCTCCGTGTTGAGGGTCAAGCAGTGAACAGACAGAGCTGTGGGTTTATTGTGCTTATGTACACATTCTTACACATTAGTACCACCCACAGGGTTTTGGAACACAACCAATAAACACATACAATACACTCAGACACTCCCACACAAATTCCTCCCCTCTTGTAATTTAGCACAAGCAGAGAAATACAATTTTTCCACATTATTCATAACTTGAAAAGTATGCATCACATTCAAATCACCGCTCAAACAGGGCAAGCACCAAATGACCCGGCTTTCATGTCTATGCAGGGCAGTGGTGTGCGGAAAGGTGGCCGGCGCATTGGGCCTGGAATTGTTTCTGTTAGTGGTTATCCTTATGGAATCATTGATTTTGTGATAGGAAGGTTATTTTCTTTACGGATAATATGGCAGTAGTGGAGGCGGTGAATAATCTTTCAGCTTCTTTGGTTCCAGTGGTTCGTTTGTTTCTTTGTTTTATATTGTATGCAGTTGAATGTTGTTTTTGGAGCACGACATGTGCCGGGATTCTTGAATGTAATCGCGGATTCACTTTCTCGATTTCAGTGGGTGAAGTTTCGGGCGGCGGTTCCGAGTGCACAAGAGGAGGGCCTGTCTTGTCCGGACGACATGTGGCAGCTCAGGACTTCTTGCTTGGAGGACTTATCAGGGATTCATTGGCTCCGGGTACAAGGGCAGCATACAGTAGAGTTTGGGACGAAGTGTTGGGCTGTACCGGGAACTTCTCGATGCTCTCTTATGGTTTTTTTGTCACTTGTTTGCGTCAGGGGCTTCTCAGTCGGTGGTTGATCGGCATTTAGTGGCTTTGGCTTTTCTCTTTAAACTGAACGGGTGGGAAGACATGAGAAAGCATTTTTTGGTCCCACAAGCGGTCAGGGATTTTCGCAAGGGTAAGAAAGCCCCTGACACTAGGAGACTGGTGTCTTTTGACTTGCTTCAGCGGCTGTTTGGGGTTTTGCCGGGTATTTGTTTTTCACAATATGAGGTATTACTGTTTTTGGTTGTTTTTATGTGGGCAGTTTTTGGGGCGTTCCGGGTGAGTGAGATAGTAAGTAGTAGTCGAGTCCATCAACCAGTTTGCGGATGTGGAAGTGTGGGGTGATCACGTAGCTATTTGCTTACAACATTTTGAAGACGGATGTCTTTGGTAAGGGCTGTATGGTGAAATTGTTTTTGCAGCCGGGGCCCTAAATTTCAGTTTGCTAGGGTTTTTATGTTAGGTTTGGGGTGTCTTGGATTCCTCACAATTTGGTACACATTCATTCTGGATTGGGGCTGCCACGGAGGTGGCACGGTTGGGCCTGGGTGATGAGCTGGTTAAGAAAATTGGGAGGTGGGAATCAGTCAGGTTCCGGTCTTATGTTCGTCCTGATCGGTTGGTGTAATTCAGGTCAGGTGGTGGTGGGGAGACACTCTGTTCTGTTCAGGTGGTGCTATGTTGTTTCTTTTCCTATACTGGTGGGGTTACGTGGCTGGTAGGAAACTCTTACGTCTACTGGGAAGAACGGAGAGTTGCAGTTCGGCTGCAAGGTACACAGCTGGGCTTTCCTATGGACTTAATACGGTTGTTTTTGTTTGGTTTCAGGGGCTTTGGGTCGAGAGATATGTCCAGAGTTATTTCGTAGGATAGGTCAAGGTGAGGTTCCTGATTTCATATTGCTACATGCTAATTAGATGGATAAAAAGGGATGTGGATACATTGAGGGGGTTACTCCCAGGAGTGGTAATCATTTGGTCAGAGACGGTGTTGAGTTTTTATTGGCATCATGCTAGGGATCCCACAGCGATTGCCAGTTGTAGACGTAAGTTCAATAAGTTATTGGCAATTTATATTATGAGGTTAGGCGGGGTGGTGGTTAGACACCGTGAGCTTTCAGGCTATTTCAGACATGATGGGGTGCATCTCTCGCAAGTGGGATTAGTCAAGTTGGGCTTCCAGGATGGCTTGAGACAGGCGTTGTTTATGCGGGGTGGGGGCGCTCAGGTGGCTTGAGGAGGTTTAGTAGGTTCGAACTCGTCGGTAGCTCTGAACTTGGGGGTGTAGGGATGTCTTGGTATGCCCCTACAGTTGGAAATGGATGCCCTTGGTGGCTGTGATAACAGCTTATGTTATTTATATTAATGTTATATGGTTGTATGGATGTATTACTGTTAATTATGATTGGGTCATTGTCTGGGGGTATAGTCATGTTAAATGGTGGCTGTGGCATTCTACATGTTTGTTGACAATGACCTTAATTAAGTTAATTGTATCTTAATAAAGCCATGGAATATTTTGAATTTCTTTAATGAAGTTATTTGGGTAATATCAGGAATATGCCATGAGGGACGACTATGCGCATGTCATGAAACTTGGCTGAATGAGCAGCTGTTCATATTCCAGTTACGCAGTGAATTACAAAATAACTTTCAGACAAAAACTACACCTGAGACATCTGTTGACCGGCCCACACATTGGTTGTAAGGGGATTGCAATAAGCAACTTTTTAAAAACGTAAATCCCAAGCCATGATGCTCAGCCATTTTCTCACATTAAGGGATCTTACTGGACAACATTTCTTGAATCAAACAGAATCACGAACTTAACATCTCAAACATAGGCAGGCACAAATCAACAAGCTGAATATGGTCTGGTCTGGATGAATATGGTCTGGTCTGAATGATGGACTGTCAGCCTAGCGTGGATTCACGCGGTCATTATCTCAGGCGGTAAAGCTAGTGACATGATCGCTTCACTGGCTCGCCCCCTTCCTCTTACTGGTGAACTGATACACAGAAATCTGGCCTTGGGAGGTATGGTATTCCCGCTCTGATCGATAACAGAGCTGCAGGAATAGCTATAGAGCGTGTAAACCTGTCCCAGCCTCCAATGTCTCTGTGTGAGGCTGGACAGGAAGTGGAAGGGATCACTTCCCTTCTGTCACTAACAGCCTCTCACACAGGAAGTGCCTTGTAGGAGGAGCAGCTAAGTGATGCACACTGTATAACACCTCCTGCAGTTCTACTATCAATCATGATAGAGTGAGTACTTTGCAAATAACCATTCAAACTCCTTTTTGCCTGTACATTGAACCCCAAAACCTAAACAAGCTGTTCCCTTAGTTCCAATCATTTTAACACCATAATTGAACTCTCACATTAGCCCTTCTATAACCTTAAACAATGCCCTTTACCATAATCACTTTTAAATTATTTTAACCCTGCACGTATTTACACAGCTGCATATTATTCACTGTGCTCACATATTCAAACACAATATATGATAAGAAGGAATATGCTCATACGTGTATTTACATTCAGATCTCCAATTTGACGCCTGCATTAACCAGTTAATAAATTAATGAAACTCACTTTATCTGTCTTAGAATTCTGGGCCTACAGACACCTGACATGTAAATCTGGGCTTTAATACAGTCAGTGAATTATCAGCAAATCAGCAGGCACAAACCAATTATATAATATAATATTATTTAATGATTAAATAATGGCCGTATTAAACCAGCAGGCACAAACCAATTATATAATATAATATTATTTAATAATTAAATAATGGCCGTATTAAACCAGCAGGCACAAACCAATTATATAATATAATATTATTTAATAATTAAATAATGGCCGTATTAAACCACCAGGCACAAACTAATTATATAATATAATATTATTTAATAATTTTAATATATGGCCGTATTAAACCAGCAGGCACAAACTAATTATATAATATTATTTAATAATGGCCCAATTAAATCAGCTACACGGATCAAAACTACTTAAATCACAAGCCATTGGCATTGCTTTCACTTCTTTTTACGGACAATTCTACAAGTTGAAAGTGGACCCATCTACACAGCAGCCACATCCTTAGAAAGTGAGAGATTTTTAAGAGTCTCCTTTACGCATCAAAGAGAGCTTTTATCAGACTTTTTTTTTTTTTTTTTTTAGGGAAGAAGTAGAACAAACAATTTCTGATCTCCCGTTACACAAAGCACCAGAGCCAGATGGATTCTCTAAAGTGTATTATAAACCGCCCTTTATTCATTTATTACCATATTTAACCAAACTATTCACTTCAGTTATCTCCCAGTCAGCATTACCCCCAGAACTCTAAGTAGCTAATGTCATAAGACGCTCTAAACTGGAGAAATCCCCACAGTATGCCAGAACTTTCGGCCCATTTCACATTTGAATTCAGGCGCTAAAATCCTGGCTAAAATATATACAAACAGAATTTCCAGTAGTGACCACGTTGGGAGACAGGGATTAGTTGGGGGCCTCTGAAGCTTTAAACTTACTTTATAATGGATCTAGGATACACATTTGGTGGAGCTGCCCAACAACTACGCAGTTCTGGACAGGAGTCTATAGAATGATAAACCAATTAGGAGCCACGACCCAGCAAGAAGCCCAGAAGGAGCCCTTTTACATTTGAATTGCAAAATGACAAACCAAAAAGTCAGGATTATAACGACTCACTGCCAAGATGGTGATTGCCAGATATTGGAAATGTAATTAATCTGAGCAACATGGTCATTGTAAAGTACAATTATATCAGCTACAAATGGAAAAGGCTATTCAGTAAAGATTACATTTTCCATTTCTATAATGAACTCATCAATATGTTAGGAAGTATCTAAATCCCTGAATAATCCGTGAATATACCTATCAAAGAGCCCTCTGTAATAACGTTTTAGAAAGGCCCGTATGAAAGATTGTATGAATGTGGGAGATTAAATACAATGTATAAAGCTGTGTTGTGGATAAGTTATCTGTTTTTCTTTCTTTCTGTATTTTTTTATGTTTCTTCTATGAACAAGAACTCCGCAACCTAAACGGAATCGATATATGTAATGTATGATGTTTTGTAATGTTATATGTTATGTGTATTTAGTAAAAAAAACAAAACACACGTTTCAGTAAAGAATTAAAGCAAAAAAATAAATAAACTTACTTTATAGTGTTTACAGATCTAATAAAGGGAGCATTTTCTTGTCCATAGATGCAAAAACGGTTGGCCTTTTTGGAAACAACCCTCGAGTGGTTTGATTATTCGCCCCTGTTTCTGGCTCTCACTTGTGCTTAGATCCCATGGAGAGTGCGCAGCTTAGCGGACAGGGGCACATGTATGAGTGTGGGATGGATGATGCATGATTGGCTATATGCTACATGTGGGAGTGTGAGATGTGAGGAAGTGGGTGGTGACAGATCAGACTGACCTCAGTGCCACTTAGGAGCAGGGCCAGCAACAAGTTTCTCTGCCTCCTCATGTTTCTGGGCTTGCTGGATTTTCTGCCTGGGGGCCCTGGATGCTGGATCCTGGTTTTACAGCCATCCTGTGTGCCCTTAGGGCTGGAACTGGTGCTGCAGACGGTGGCCTCCTCCATCCCCAGCGGCCTGACGGTGAGATTCCCCTCCCCAGCGGTCTGGCTCTCCCTGAGCACCCAGCCTGTGTCTCCCTCCCTGGCTCTCCCTCTATGGGCACCCTGCCTCGGGCTCTGTGAGCCCCAACCCTCCTCCTTGGGCCTGGACCACGTGGCGCGTGGCCTGCTCTGCGCCCGGTCCTTCCGCCACCCCTGGGCGGTGGCATCTACTGTGGACCGTGCCCCCCCTGGAGGTAGTGGGGGGGCGGAAGCACGGCAATCGACCTGGGTGGCATGTGGTAAGTGGGCCCCCTGCGGGGCATGCGGGGTAGTTCTCGGCCGCTGCCGCCGGGTGGGGAGGGTTTCCTGGATCTCCCTCATGGGCTCCAGGGGGGTCTGCTTGTCCCAGCCCTCCCCTCCCTCTTTTGCCCGGCAGGGTCCGCGGGCGGTGTGGGCTCCCCCCCCTCCAATGTTTCTCCCTTTCTGTGTGGTGTTTCCCTCTTATTTGTGTTCCTCCTCTTTCTTTTTTATTGTCCTCCCCCCTCTTTCTTTATTGTCCTCCCCCCTTTTTTGTTCCCCCCTCTTTCTCTATTGTCCCCCCCTCCTCCTTGCTGACCTTCTTTGCCCCCCCTTACCTGTTTCGGCAGCCTCCTGTCCTGGAGCGTTGGCTCTTCCTCTCTCCACTGCTGCTTCAGGCTTTGGGTGCAGTTGCCGGATCCGTCCAGCAGGTGGCGTCTGAAGCTCCAGTTGCCATGGGAACTGCGCTGCAGGTGATGGACTCTTTTTTTCAAGCTGCTGTCTCTTCTATGGTGCCGCCAGCAGTTCCTGGGGTGCCGTCAGGTGAGTAATGTTTTCCTGCGCTGGCTGGGGCGCCTGCGCTAGGCGGGTTTATGTTGGGTTTATTTAAAAAAAAAAATTATAATAATTTTCTACAACCTAACCCCACTTCCCCTGCTCCAGCGCCTGGTGTTACGGTGTCCATGCTTCATGTGTCGTATAGGTCCGGTTCGTCTTGGGCCAAGGTACTCCAGGGTATGGGTGGAATGGCAGGCACAGGAGTCAGAGGTGGGTGTATTTGCAGGTTCGCCTGCTCGTTTCAAGGTCTGTTGTGACTGCTGGACTGTTGGGTTTCGGCGGAT